CCAGTCATGGGCTTGATGTCTGCTAGGGAACCGCCAGTGAGGCGGGTGCGAAGCAGCAGCGACCTGAAGAATATTGAAGCACACGTCGTCCGTCAGATCGAGGAACTGCAGAGGTGCCATGGCGATGAATGAGATTCGTCAAGAGCAGTGATGACCGCGCAGAGGAAAGCCGTTCCAGGAACAGATCTGCGCCATGAGCGCTTGAGCGGTGGGAAGGTTGGACCCATAAGCGCCTACTTGTACGCGTGATGGGTTGAACGCGACGCGCGCTTGATCGGCAACGACGAGGATGGAGAGCAACTCACGACCCGAATCACCAGAGGCGCCGCCACAGGATCTCTGGTCTAGTATCCTAGACTCTGTCTCTTCGTCACGGTCCATACCTTCGAAACAAGTCTTGATCTTGGGCCAACCCTCGACTGGCAAGTCGACGCTTTCGTCCGCTTTCTTGCAGAAACCACCATCAGACGGCGGAAAGGATGAGCCAGCCACCGACTTTGCGATGGGATATGACTGGGCAGATGTGAGGGACGAAGGGGAGGAAGGTATATGACACGTATATCATTGTGTAATCAGCTCTCACTGTGTCTGTAGATATACTGGCACGACTGTCCGTATACACTGTGCCATCATCTGCCAAGGCATACACGTCTCTGGTGCCCCACTTTCTACCGCCACGAGCATCTTTGCCCCATACTGCTGTCGTGATTGTGCTTGACTGGACTAAGCCTTGGACGTTCGTGGAGGAGCTATTGACATGGTTGATCTGGATCGAGGACTGGGTGAAGGGCGACTCGTCTCGAGAAACCGTCATTGCTCGAGAGGAGAACAGGGAACGACGTAAGTCTATACTTATGTCGTACCGATCACCACTTGCTAATATGAATTGTCGTAGTGCAACACTACTTCCAGCATTATACCGAACCATCTACTGAACCTATACCCGCCACTACATCGACACTACAGGACACCGTCTTGGAGATACCCCCAGGCGCGCTGACGAACAACTCCGCCGGCGTGCCGATTCTTGTTGCATGCACGAAAGCCGATCTGATCGATGACAACAATGACATTGCTGGCGCAGGAGCACCGGGTGGCATGGGCGGCATGGTGAAAGGAAAGGGTGGCGAGTGGGAAGAGCGTACGGACGGGATCATGCAAGTACTGCGTACTATCTGCTTGCGATGTACGTTTGCGTTCAACATTAGACAATCAATATACTCAATCTTGATCCAGATGGCGCGTCTCTATTCTATACTACTCCGCAACCTGCGACTCTGCAAGTGCTGCGGCAATACGCGCTACATATGCTTTTCATACCTCCCGCTCCGGCGCCTGGCTCTGAGCCCACTGCACCGCCACGGAACCCCTTCCCGTTCACCCAAAAGCCAAACACGCTCGACCGTGACCGCATCGTCGTGCCGACAGGCTGGGACAGTTGGGGAAAGATCACGTTATTGCGTGAAGGGTTTGAAGCGAAGGCTTGGGGCGAGGCTTGGGAGCGTGCACTAGAAGTCGCGGCAGGAGAGACTGTCACAGAGCCCATCGCGACCAAGATGTACGCTCAACTTGTACCAGATCAGGGACCGAAGGTACGCTTTGCGCCCGCACAACGTTCGGATTGGGACCTTATTGACGCATTTGCTATGACAGCCTCATACACTCCCGCCGCTCAACGAGCCTATGCCGGAGCAAACCTTCCTCGCAAAGAACTACGACGAGATCGCGAAGAAGGGCGACAAAGACCCGCGCGGTATATTCCGCAACCCGACGGAGACACCGGCCGCCGGTGTTGTCGGCCCTCTGGGGAGCACATCACTCGGTCTGCCTATGGTCGAGCGTGCGCTCGAGGACATGGAGAGTAGCATGAACCTCGGCGCTAGCACGCTCGGCGCAAGCACAACGAGGAGACCCGGTGCACCGGCCGCACCCGTACCGCGGTCCGCGTTGGCTGCTGGTCAAGGACCTCGTAGTCCGTCGACACCAACGATCCCCGGGGCACCAGGTGGTCAATCGAACCATGAGGTTCTGCATAACTTCTTCCAGAGCTTGCTTAGCTCAAAGGATCGGGCTGGCGCGAGCGCCGCGGCTGCTCAGGCGGGTGGTCCTCCGCCGCGTACGAATGGTAGTGCTGGTGGCGGCGGAGGAAGCGGTAGCGGTACGGAGGATGGTGGAGGTTGATTTCTTGCTGCATGTACTTGCGCTGTATGCCTGTATGGATGACTGGTCTACTTTCACCGTTCAACGTTCAACCTTGATAGGGCGCATCTGCCAGATGCGTAGTGCACGATTCGTATACGGACTCGAGTAGAACTGGTCAGTCTGCGCTGTACATGTCAGAAGTATCTTGTCAGCGCCGCACGACCCGGGATGATCGAGTGACTCCCGTCTCGAGCTTCGGTCGAGCACTGTCGAGCGTATATTATTCATGATGGGCATCGGCCGGGCCACGGCCCGGTCACGGCAATTTCCGCATGGCTTCGTGAAAGCCGCGGTGCCGCTTAAAGCTCGACGTCGACCACCATGCCCGCTAGCGTCATGCTGTATACTACACACAACCTCCTGCCGCAAAGATGTGACATACCTTTGTTAACGACTTTCATCTACCAGCCTTGCAGGAAACCTCGTTACACCGGATAAAACCAATAGACGCCGACCGTCCTGAATCCTTATCTCTCGTTCCTGTTGTGTCCCTGTGGGCGCGATCATACTGGCAAGCGGGGCAACAGTCGTAGCTGCAAGCTACCCCAGCTCTCGTGCTCTCCGGATATACGGCCATCTCGTTGGCTCAAGTCTCGGCGGGGAATATCCTTGTGACATATCGCAGCTGGGCGCATCACTTCTTTCCTGATCGTTTGGCCACGTCTCCGAGCCTTATACCTCGAGATAAGGAAATGGTTCCAGCACGCATCTTGCCCCCGCTTTCAAATTTTTGAGCCTGGAATCACCGCTGCTACTGTGCGCCGTCGCGTCGCGTCGGACCGAGCCGCTGTGCATATTGAAAGCAGAGCTCGCCCTCATAGGGCGTCGGCCGAGGCATCCATTCCCTGTTGCTCTCTACCGCGGGCTTTGTCCACCATGTTCAACGCGGTCTCTTTGTTAGCCGTCGTGAGCGCAGCGGTGTCCGTGCAAGCTTGGGCCAATCCTTTCCCTGTCGAAACGTGCCATGGCGTCGACATCAAGGACATCACTGTCGCGCGCCTGCAGGAGGTATGAGAACTGCTTCATCCGTATTTCTGTACCGGACTGACATGATTGTCCGCAGCACTTTGACGCCGGGAACCTCACGTCCGTACAGTTGTGCGAGTGCTACGTTGCTCGCTTGAACAAAACGAACCCACACGTCCATCACGTCATTGAGATCAATCCCGACCTTCACGACATTGCTTCGAAGCTCGACGCGGAGCGCGCAAACGGTACTACGCGCGGACCTCTACACGGTATCCCCATCATCAGCAAAGACAACATCGCGACCGACGATGGGTTCAACAGTAAGTGTACCTTTGAGCCTCTGCTATTCCAACGTTGACGAGGGTGCTCGTAGCCACCGACGGCAACCTTGCGCTTCTCGGTAGCAGGGTAAAACAAGACGCCCACGTCATCAAGAAGCTGCGCGAGGCAGGCGTCATCATCTTGGGGCATGCCAACGAGAGCGAGGATGCCGATCATCGTGCAGGTAGCACGCACCCTCCACTGCCTTGTTCTGCCCTCTGAACCCCTTGCAGTCATCTCTTTCTCCGAGGGCTACTCGGACCGTGGTGGTCAGACTCGCAACGTTTGGAATGGCACTCAGCAAACTGCTGGTAGCAGTACTGGCAGTGCACAAGCTGTTGCTGGCTACAACGTGAGTTGTGGTCTTGTAGGCTTGTCAGTCGCGTATACTCAATTGGCTCTTGTAGATCCTCATGGCTATCGGCACTGAGACGCACGGATCCATCGTGCACCCCGCTGGTCATGCTGGCGTCGTTGGCCTCAAGCCCACTGTGGTACGTGTCCCGCGATGGGACGCTTTCTTGATCACCCTTCTCATAAGCGCTTGTAGGGCCTCACCTCACGTGATGGCGTCATCCCAGGCTCGCACAACCGCGACTCTGTTGGCTCCTTTGCCCGCAATGTGCATGATGCCGCGCTTCTTCTCGATGTCATGTACGGTGTCGATGAGAACGACGACAAGTCTTTCGGTCAGGTTGGCCGTACCCCGTCCGGCGGCTACGCTCAGTTCGCGACCAACAAGAGCGCGCTTGCTGGAGCCGTGTTTGGTATCCCGTGGCACAGTACGTCTTGAATCAGTTCATGATTATGCTTCGTAGTTAACCTAGATCTGCAGTATGGTGGTCTACGGTCGCAGGTGTTCGCGCTCCTGGCAACTCGGAGAAGTTGCTCGCAAAGATCAAGCAGTTGGAAGATGCCGGCGCCACGATTGTCAACATCACGGAGCCGCTGCCCTACTCTGATGATATCCAGAACGCCTACGGCTGGTGAGAATGCTCGTGTTGTGAATGCATGGCGGTGACTGAACGCCACCACTTGTCTAGGGGAGATGCTGCCGGTACCCCTTACTGGTTGCAGAGCGCGCGCTACCTCAACGTCGACCTCTATGTTGGGTACACAGGTCAGTACAGGTTGTGCATGTCAGCATTCTCTGGCTGACGAATCCTGTCAGACTGGCTACAGAACAAGATCACATGGCCCAGAGGTCGCAATGACACCACGGACTTGCCGCTCAACAACCTGGGTGATCTCGTAGTATGGAACGCTCAACACAATGCCTCAACAGGCGCGCTCGGGGGACATTTCCCATGGAACTCGGGTCAAGATCAGCTTATAGCCGCTGTTGCCACCGCTGGCATTCGTAACGAAAAGTATTACACTGCCTTGAGTACGTCCATCTAGCCACGCACAGGAGAAGGGTGCTGAACTCGTCCTCGCTAGACTGGCGCCAGAGTCGCTCGATGGCGTGCATCGACGGCGGTTACGTGTACACGAACGGGAATGGTACGACTATCGAGCTTGACGCGCTTCTCATCCCGAATGTCGGCGGTGGCGGTGCTTCAAGCTCTTTCAGCAGTGTTCTTGATGTCAGTGACACTCTGCGCACATTGTGAAGCTTCTCTGACAGAACCCGAATACAGGCGGCTACGTACCCCGGGATCACCATCCCCATCGACATTGATCCTTGGAAGCTCCCGCTCGGCCTCGGCATCTGGGGCCGCGCCTACGGCGAGGGCAAGATGATCAAGTGGGCTAGCGCGATGGAGGACCTCTTCCAGTTCAACGCCAACTTTGAGCCGGAGTTCATCAACTATAACACAACGAAGATCCCCTTTGACGCCCGTTGGGTACGCCTTCCTGATTCGGTTTGACGCCGAAAGTCACTCATTCTTGCTCGCGCAGCCCGGATACTCGTGCACGACGGACTCACTTACCCATCTCGGCTGCTCACCGGCGTGAGAAGCCGACATGGCGCACGCTGCTATTGCATGTTCACGATTTCGTATGCACGCGGAATGAATATAAACGAAGAATAATGTTCGCCACTCCGTTTCAGTGTGCGGGTGAGGCGTTGTTAGGCGCCAGACCCACTTCACGTCGTGTCCGACCACGGACTACTATGCGTTTCGAGCGTCCATCTTCACCGCTCTTCGTTGACCATTCACCGCTTCTAGCTGCCTAGCCTTGGACGTGCCGAATCCTCGCCATTCATCATCTTCTGTCGTTCCCACGAAGCATCCAACTTCAACCACCGCCTTCACCGTACCATAACTTCTCTTCAACTGCGGCTCGAGTCTTCGCCCGCCTATCCCAAGCTGCGCATTTGCTAGCACGGCCAACTGACTGTCAGATGCACGATCACTAGTACATTCTGGCCTCCCCCACGCAGAGCATTTGTAATCCTGGAAGCGGCGTATTGTTCTCATGCCTCGTAGACTTCCCAAGGTTGTCGTCCCACTCGTCGCGCCCTGCGCAGGACCCATGGGAAGACATGCACAACTCATACTGTCTCGTAGGTCGCTTTAAAGCCACGGCGAAGTGGGGCTGCAACCAGCACCAGCACTCTCACTCGTCACTCGGTTCGAGTCCTCGTCGTATCCGTTCCTGCTCCGTTTTACACTCTCTGGCTCTCCTGCATCTAGATCAGCTAGACCCAACTCAGCATGTCGGACGTAGACTTCCCGTTGACGCCGTTCGAGCAGAAGGCGCGCACGCACGGATACCTCGCGTTCTTTGGCTTCTTCGTCGCGCTCCCCATCGGTGTCGGCGTCGCGCGCTACCTCCGCACCTTCTTTGGAGGATGGCTCTATGCGCATATCTTCATCAACTTCATCGTTAGCGGGCCGCTCATCTTTGCTGGGTTCGCTCTCGGGCACCAGACGACGACTATGAGCGGGTTGCCGCATTACAAGGACCCGCATCAGGTGCGACACTCGGCGCTCGAGGCGCACTTGCTGACATCGAGCGCAGAAAGGAGGACTCGCCCTTCTCATCCTATACCTCATTCAACTCCTCATCGGCGTATTCATCCACTGGGTCAAGATCCCACGCGTCTTCACCGCTCTGAACGGGCACCGTCCTCAAAACCTCATCCATATCGCTCTCGGCCTCGCAATCCTTGCTCTCGCCTCATGGCAGACGCACTACGGTCTCTACACCGAATACGGCTTCGCCACAGGCAACCTACACCCCATCCCTCAAGGTTTCAAATCCTTCTGGATCGCGATGGTCGTCGTAAGTCCACGTTCCCCCGACCCTGCGTTATCCCACGCCACAGCGAATCGGAGCGCTGACGATTTGATGTCGCCTTTTCGTTTTTATAGATCGTGTGGGTTCTGTACGCTGCCGGACTGGGCCTGCTCCCGCGCCAGCTCCGCTTCGAGAGGGCGGCTCTGAGTGAGAACAAGGATAAGGAGATGAGGTTGGCTGATCGGAGCTCGCCCGCCGCTGCGTAATGTGAAAAGGCGGCATGGTAGTAACGAACTCTCATCATGGGAAGCGCTTTGAATTTGGAGTACTTTACCGACTCGGTTGTGGTGTTAATAGATGGACTTGTGCTTGTGTGGCTCGCGCTCTCACTGTATGCGCGTTGCGCAGTTCGCATGGAATTGGATGAAGACATGCGTATAACTTGCTTTTCTGTGAGATGTATAAAGGCGAGGTGCTCCAACGCAAGGGTACAACACATCTCTGCCTGCCCTCGAGGCTACCATCCCCGAGCCATACCATTCTCCTGTCATTCTCAGCACCTACCACACCTCCGTGAAGGCAACATGTCCACCTTCGCAGGTCCCCTAACGCCCTTCGAAGAAAAGGGCCGAGCCCACGCACACATCGCGTTCTTCGGCTTCCTCGTCGCTCTCCCTCTCGGCGTCGGCTTCGCTCGCTACCTTCGCACATTCTACCCCAAATGGCTCTGGGGACATATGATCGTCAACTTCATCGTTAGCGGGCCGTTGATATTCGCCGGGTTTGCGTTAGGTGTTCAGACGACGACCATGAGCGGGTTGAAGCATTTCAATGATCCTCATCAAGTACGACCCTTCCTCCTGCTATTGGTTAAAGGGGAGTCCAATTCTGACGGGATGAGTAGAAAGCCGGCCTCGCGCTCCTCATCCTATACGTCGCCCAACTCCTTCTAGGCGTATTCATCCACTGGATCAAGGTCCCGCGCGTCTTCACCGCTTTGAACGGCCACCGCCCACAGAACTTCCTGCACATCATAATCGGCGTGTCCATCCTCGCGCTCGCATCTTGGCAGGCTCATTATGGACTGTACACCGAGTGGGCCGTCGCTACAGGGAACTTGCATCCTGTGAGTAACGGGTGTAAGAGGTTCTGGCTCGCCATCGTCGTCGTACGTCCTTCAAGTTATCCTGTGTGAACAGAGGAAGGGTGAACTGATGTTGCGCACGTTTGAATAGATCGTGTGGGCGCTTTACCTCGGTGGGATGGCGCTACTTCCGCGTCAGCTGCGCGCTGAGAGGTATGCGATGAGAGATGCTCAGGCGGCCAAGTGGGCTGCTGCGGGGAGGGACAGCAAGGAGCAGCATCTCATGGGTCAGGAGTCTCCGGTCGCTCCTGCATGAGGAGTTTGGATTGATACGGCGTTGAGTGAGAATGGTCAGATTGCGGAATCGCGTTCGCGCGAGGATGAAATACTTTACCGTCCCGGATTGAGTTTACAGA